TGCCGCTTCTGTCGCTTCATGGTTTTGTGTTCCAGGATGATACTGGGCCTGCTTCCACAATTCTTAAACCCTCAACTCTTAGCCCGTTTTAAACCCTAGAATTCTTATAGCGCCCTTATTGCAGTGCCTCATTCTAGTACCCTTCTAGGCCTTAAGGGGTGGACCAATCGGAAAAGGTCCTCCGAGCACTGTTCGCCCATGTGGGCTTTCGTGAAGGGACCGGTCCAGCTCCTTGGCTATCTTTGGCGTGGTCTTTGGGGTTCGTTCAGGGTCGCATAAGAGCGCTATGATGGGTTTCCGGGGTCGATAAAGGTTTAGGCTTTCGGGCTTGGGGTAGTTTTGGTTTAGCGTTTTGGCCCCGGGGGTGTAGGGCTTCGGTTGAGGTCGTTGTTGAGGACAACCCCTAACCCTGAATCCCCTAATTAATCCTACATCGCTTCGGGAGGTTGCCCGATGCATCGGAGCACCTGGGGCTCCAGATCTCAGTCACGTATGAACTGCGTAACCTACTGTGTGCATCTCTAGACTTTAGGGGGGTAGCCCGCAGTATGTGTAGTGGGGCAAAAGGACTACCCATCATGAGCTCTTTGGATCACCATAGCATGCTTTCACCCTCAACCCTAAACCCTGCTTCGTTGTTGAACTGGCGAACTGGAACCTGCCCATCTCAAGAGCACCGAACTGTGGCATAGGCCATAAGTGGTAGTTCATGTAAGAACCTCCAAAAACAGAACCCCTAGGTTTAAACCCCTCCACAAATATGGCAGGACCCCAAGGCCGTTTTTGGAGCTAACTTTAAGCACGTCACTCTTTTAAGACTGCTACGGGGAGCTGCAGAGAAGGCGCTAAAGCGCGCGCAGAGTTCGTGCGCACGGCCATAGCAAAAAAAGGTTCCAACACCGTTTGTTTAAGAGATGCGTGCCAAGAGCCCGAGGCCCAGACGGAGCTTTAATCTGAATCCGTCAAGCCCTATCCCCTAAACCCTAACCCTTAGGCCGAGGAGGGAGGAGCACCTCCATTCTATGTGCCCCCGGCCTGTTTGGGACTTAGTAGAGTGGGGTTTAGGCTTCCCTTTAAAGGGTACTGCAGGGTTCTCTATGGGTTTAGGGTTTAGGGTCTACTTACAGGTTCTTTCAAAACGTAGGCTTGAGGTTCTTGATCTTCGTACCAGTTAGGTTTTGGATTTTCGTATCAGTTAACGGAAGAGCATCCCATGTTGCGAGTTGCCAGGTGCAGTTCCTAAGCAGTCTGAGGCAGCTGTCGGAAGGGACGTATCGTGTGTTTGCTGTATTGGTAATGCTGTATTGCTCGCTGTCCGTTGTCATACTTGCCATGGTCGTCATCATCATCATCATCAGCAACATCACCATCGCAATATCAACACCGCATGGTGTCAGCAGCAGCATCAGCACCGGCCCCGCCCCACTAGCCCCAACGGCCCCGGTTGCGAAAGCAGCGCCCCTGAGAAGCCTTATGCTCCAAACCCCCAACCTTAAACTGTGAACAGCCAAAGAACCCTCAAGCCAAACAGGAGCCTAGAGCCCAAAGCGCCCTGAAGCATAAACCGAACATGAACTAAACCGCAACCCTAAGCCACAAACCCTAATCCCTCAACCCCAAGACCCTAAATCCGAAGCCCTAAACCGTAAGCCCTAAACCCTAAACGCAAGCCCAAACCAGGTGGAGTTCGGCGCCCGGAAGCCCGGGATGCTCAACTCGGCTGCTTTGCGAGCTCGGGGCCTCGGTGTCGTTGTTGACATCTAGGGTTTGGGGTTTGGGGGGTTTAGGGTTTTGGGTTTAGGGCATCCTGACAACTTATTAGGTGTGATCATACTAATTGGGAACAGCAACAACATTAATAGCAATAGAAGTGCCAACACCAATGCTAGTTCTAATGGTAATTGTAGCAACAATACTAGTAATGATCTGATTCAGAATAAGCACAATAATGAATCATAATATTTATCATGCTAACAATACTGAAATGTATGAGTATAAGCATGTGACGATCATAATAATGTTAGTAGTCGCAACAATTTCAGAATGAATAATACCAATAGTAACACTGATGGTATCAATAATCATTATGCCAACGACAGTAATAACAGCAACAATCTTGGCGATCACCATAATAACAGCCACAGGAATGGTACGACTGCTGCTGCTGCTGCTGCTGCTGCAGCTGCTACTACTACTACTACCACCACTACTAGTAGTACTGCTACTATTACTAGTACTACAACTACTAGTACTACTACTACTACTACTACTACTAGTACTACTACTACTACTACTACTACTACGACGACGACGACGACGACGACCACAACAACTGCAACAACTGCTGCTGCTACTACTACTACTACTACTACTCCTACTCCTACTCCTACTCCTACTCCTACTCCTACTCCTACTCCTACTCCTACTCCTACTCCTGCGGCTGCTGCTGCTTTTGCTTTGCTTTGCATGCACAACCGCTCGAGAGCGACCTATGTGTGAAGCCGGCGATACTTTCGGCATCGGCTCCTCTGGGGAGCGCACAGGGCCCGAAACATGACAACAAATGAATAAAACGAGCCTGAAGATCCATTTAAAGATCAGAGCTCTCACCTGGAACGGGTGGACAAAAACATGCATAAATAAAAATGCTGCCTGTACCAAGAGTGCCGTGCCGACAGCACCCAGCGCACTCAAATCATAGGCGAGCCGTCAGCTCCAAGCCCTATGAAGTATACTGGCAAACATCTTACAGGGATCGGGAGCAATCTATACACTATACAAAAGGAGGGCAAGCCGGTCCCTTGAACGGTACCTTTCTGCAGTGTTCACGCCTTCGAGCGCCCAAACATCCTGTCAGTCAGGGGCTCTCACATGGCATTTGGGATATGTCGAGCGCAAAGTGAAAGCAGCCTGGTCCACGTCTTTGCTTGAATCAGCCTCAGAGCAACCGCAAACACGAGCGGGTAGAATGCATGCCATACCATTCCGGCCCTCGCGAACTACATGTTGTTTTCTACCATGATGCCCATCAGAAGCTCCCTTGCATCACTGTATTCAAATCAGAGATAAGTCCGGCTTGAAACCCAACTGCCGAAGAAGCTCGGCATCCTCGACAGACAACTTTTGCATGTGTCGAACATGATAGCCTATTAAAACCAGCCTGTCACCACCCCAAGGAGCAGTGGCGTGCAAGCTTTTGGGGTCAAAATGGAGTGGAGTATGTATGTCCCACAGGATACCAGGATCACCATGCTGCGAGAGTATTGTAGCGCCCTCTGGATGCTGCACCCAGATTTCTCCCCCTTGAAAAGAAGAACACGGCACCACCAAATTCCAGCTTCCATCAGCATTATGGCTGTCACGATGTGGCTTGGAGCATACATTACGCACCAAAGTGCACGAGCTGAAATGGAAGTTTGGATCTACTCCATGTAGTATGCAAGCAAGCATGCGACTGACATGCGGAAAGAAGCGCAAGTTGCGTGTGAGCCCAGTTTGTGGACCTCGGGCCCATGCTCCAGTCATAAATGACTTCGGACTGGCTGATTCGGTGTGCTCCGCCTGCTTCCATCGGAGCTTGGTGTCCTCGGGTACAGCGTTCATAATGGCCTCAAGCTGCATCCATGTCACCATCCCCTGCTCAAAGCAACTCCTTGCCATGGTTTCAGCAGCATGCTCCAGGGGACCGCATCGGCTCAGTTGCATCACTGGTAAACCGAAATAACCCACTCTGAACTCGACATTGTGATGGTTGGGCCCGTCGCTCGGCTCTCCCCCGTCCCGTGAAAGCATTCGACGTAGCTTCTGCGGTGCCTCGTCATCAATGCTGGAGTCCGACGATACCTCCATCAGCACATCATTGTCCGGCTCAGGTTCGCCCACCGCTACTGGCCTAGACGAGCTTTGCCGGACATCTAAGTTGGTAGTGTCGGCACGACCAAAGAAGCGATGAAGCCCGTCCCGTCTGGTACACTGCCTTGAGTCTCGGTCCGATCTAAAGTAGGCATAGAGACCACTCATGGCACCATGAAGCTAGTAGCATTCAGAGCCCTTGGACCGTGCCATCGTCTGAGCCCGTTGCACTGGAGTATCGCCAGCTGAGGGAGAAGTACAGCCCCGTGAGAGCAGGCACACCGCACGTAAATAGAAAGTAAGGTGCACGCCCAGCAGTGTCGATGATTTTGTCGTGATTGAACCTCAGTGGGAATTCTTGCCAGCTCAACGCCACGTAAATGCTCAAGGATGAAGTTCCTCCCAACTCATTTTCTGCGGGTTCCAGCACCATCTGCCACTCTCGACGGTCTGAGAAAGCACTTTATGCACTCCAGCCAAAAGAGAGTTGTGCAAGAGGAGCCGCCTCCCCAGTTCGGGATCATGATCAAAATGTCGAAAGGTGAAGGCCACCGCCGCACACCCCGTGCACCGGATAAACTACAGCGCCGCACCGTCAGTGCCAAGCACGCTGCTTCCTCCACCCCTGGCTCCAAGGCTCTCTCACAAAGAGCAGGCGGCTGATCTGATTTGCCAGCTGGCTTCTAGTGCTCCTTTCTTTCTTGATCTCGATGCCACAAACCATTGTGGATCCACAATGGCATAACTGGCTCATGTCCGCATAAAGCTGCAGCCCATCATCATTCTGTAGCGAGAACTGCAAAAGGAACGCCACCGTGCCCTCCGGCATCTGCTCAGCGATAGGCCTTGTGGGGTGGAAGCGCAAAAGCGCCTCCGCCGTGTTGCATCGAGTCATAATCGACTGAAGCACGGCCAACACATCCTCATACGAGATGACCGAAGTCTCCGTGTCCTTGACGGTCTTCTTGAGCTTGGCATCCCATTTGAGGCGCTGGAAATCCTCCCCTTCAAGCCACCCAAGCTTCTCCATGCTCTGACGCCGAACAGAGTCCGATCGTAGGACTGTCAGCCTTTCCGACATCTCCTTCACCAAGCAGCTGAACAACATATTGCGCATGGGTCTCTTGACCTTCTCCGGGGTCTCCTCTTTAAGCTTCTGCCGGGCTGCTTTGGCAGCGAAAAGGGCTGGCACAAGGCTGACAAGGCTGCCCGGAATTCCTGTGCGTACAAAAAAGTACGAAAGAGCTTTCAGCCCTCCACATGTTGATGGAATCCTCGTGCCGAAGGCAAAGCCTGGCCAGCTGGCTGACCATCATCTTGAGGGTGGCCAGATCAATCTCCTCCTCGTTCTTCCAATTTCCCCACTTGTTGGAGCCCCAGCCACCTTGGTTCTTCGATCTTTGATAGTTGCCCATTTGCCCGTAGTGCTTTGCCACCTTGGTTGCTGCGACCACGGTCCTGCTGTCCTTGCGCCCGGTCTCCATCGGACCCCTTGGCATCACTGCCCCTCTGATCCGCGCCGCGAGTGTCGCCTTTTCCCTCTGGCTTATGAAACTTTTGAGCTCGATCCTTATCCAGAGCGTCCGCTCCTTCACCGGTGATCTCCGATGGGGCCGCCTGCTTAAAAGCAGACCAAATCCTCAGCTCCTCATCCTGTTCCATTGGAACTTCCAGAGCATCGGCCATCTTTACACCTAAAGGTTCGGAGGCGGAGCCGGCGAATCCGTCACGGGTCCTCTTTTGAGCCAGACTGTGTACAGTCCACGTCGTAGCTGCACATCCGGTTCACAGGGCACCGCTGGCACTCCATCATCCGTGATCCACCATGTCTGTTGCACTCTGAGTATCGAACGGTAATGTCCGGAGTGAGGAGAGTCGCCATAGTGAAGAAGACCTGCCACGACATGGTACGGCTCCCACTTGCACCGCACACCGTTCTCAAATACTGGCATATTTAGAGTCTGATGGAAGCGTACCTGTACCATGGATTTGCCTCGATGTGGGAACCTGCCCAACTGGAGCATCACCAACTGCTGCTGTCAATGCATGTATATGTGACTGGTCAGACCATGCACTCACCAGCTCTTTTAGGTCCTTTTAGGTCACATGCACTGCTGGGCAGGTCGAGGTATAGCATGCCGTAGCCTGAGTCCACTGTTGAGTGAACACCACGACCAATGGTTCGAGCTTCCCAGTGTACATGCACATATCCCACCTTGCTGAGCACAAAGTCCGTAAATTCCGCGACGTCCCTCTGCCTGCGATCAAGCACCCATCCCTGGAATAATGAACGAAGGCCGAAGTGTGCTGAGAGGGTGAGTCCGCCGCTCGGAGCATGAAGTACAGCATCACGTAAAGGTCGCAGTCCTCGAGGTATGGAGTCCACCTGAAGCGCATGCAGCATAGCCAACACCCCTGCACAAGTTATGTGGATTGTGAAGCCTGACCCGTAGAATGGCCGCATTCTCCGTCTCCTCCGACACTCCGTTCACCTGATTGACCGAGGCCAACGCGGGACCCTCACTCCCCGACATCATGGTTTGCTGTGGTGGTGCCTCCTTGCTTCTCGTGGCTGAGTTTTTGTTGTCGTCCTTGACCACGTTCTCCCGCTGACCGCCATGATCCCGGTTCGCTCCTTCATTCTATACTGTGGTTCCTTTTCCCTCTGCTTAAGAGCCGGTCCCCGCCTTGAAGAAAGTATCTGTTCCAGCAATCCTGCAGCATGTAATTTCCGAACTGCCAGTACCTGAAATAGCGGAGTACACTTCGTGGCATGATGGGTGGAGTCCGATTTACCATGCTGTGCCGTGCTACCACAGTATTGACGTGGCCTCAGGAAGGTGGCCCGCATGCTTCGTGCCCCCGATGTAGCATCCTGCTGTGAACTCGCCCAGGCTTCAATATGAATGGTCTGCCAATGAGTTTTCATGTGACCCTTCGCCTTGATGATTTGTGCACGAAGAATGCATTGGTACTGAAACTTCGCGATCTCCTGAGCGTGCTCCCGCAGCGAGGCAAGCGTGCAGGAAAGGAGTTGAGATGGGATGCTCCTTGGTGTGGGGGCCAGCTGTGAAGCCGTAGACGGCGGCTTCGGTGGTGAATCCGTCTCCTCCTGCTGCACCTGTTGCATAACTTGTTCCATGCTCTTGCCCTCTGCAGCGGCCTTCTTGAGTCTAGGGCACCTGCCTCCAGTGATGTCTCGCTCCATCGATGCCCAATCAAACAAAGTTTGCCTGCACAAACGACACTGCGGAAGTCCGAAGAGTGTGTGTAGCCTGCGGTCCAACGATGCACGAGCCTCCTTGTGAACATGAGCATGTCGAGATGTAAAACGGGCCTCCAAACTCTTTTGATTGTGAAATTCCATCCCACAAACCGGGCACGTCACCGCCTCCCCCCGTCGGATCAACCTCTATTAACCCTGCCTGGGGAAGCTGCCCGACCCTGTCCAGCTCAAGCACAATCTCCTGCAGTCGGTTCTGCGCCGGTGCACGCAATTCAGGGGACTGGTGTCCATCAATAGCCAGGGCACACTGCTTGCCTTGGATAAGATGTCGTAGGACAGCCACTGGGGAGAAAACCGCGCGCTCGAGACTCGAGAACCTGTTGATCGCTGACCCCGTGTTCATGTACACGTAGAATTTTGCGAAGCATTCGGGCACACGTTGAAATTATCAGTCTCAGACTAGCCGCTGTGACACCGATGCCAATGACACCATAGAGGAGTGCTGGAACCACACAGGCCTTGAAGAGCCTGAGTCTTTGAGCCGTGCTGAATGCCGATGACGTTCGAAGCATGGGCCTGAGCTTTGTAAAATTCGCCCATGCCTTTGACGCTCGATGCTGAATCGTTTGTGATTCCATGGATCCATAGGATAACACAGCCCCCAAATACTCCAGCTTGTCAACGATCGGTAACCTAACCTCCCGCCCCGTGAAACCATCTGTTCCCAGAACCAAAACATATTTGTCCCTGTGCCATTTGACGAAGCGCTTCTTGAGCCCAGCTGCAGCTTTGCCCCGAAGGAGAAGGACCGCCTCTGATTTGTCAAAGTTGACCTTCATGCCGGACCGATGGAGCTCCGCAATAAGCTTTAGCGCTCGTTCCCTTGCTTCATGGAACTGCGAAACCATTCGTATGATCCAGTGTCCATGTACATCATCCGCGAACAGGCTTGCATGAGCACGACACCACTCAGGACCAAGCGTTCTGCATAGTCTTATAGTCCACGCCGTGAAAACACTCGGCGCCAGAGGGCAACCCTGACGGAGACCGCGTCGCATGCCAACCCTGATGCTGTTCCAACCGTGTCTAACCACGCAAATTGATTGTGTGTGGGTTTCAACAACTAGCCGAGCCAGAGCCTCATCAACCCCAATTTCTCTAAGGCTGTCGTACATCACTTAGAATGGCATGCAATCGAAGGCCTTGGCGAGGTCCAAACTAATCATCAAACCACCGCTTATCTCAGGCAGTTCACCTGCTGTTAGCCTCGTGGTGACGTCTGTATTCAACTGGCCTGAAAGAGAACGGACTTCGTCGCAATGTTGACTGCCCCTGAGTAATGCATCTATGGTGCTCGACAGCTGACGGTATGCAAACTGCGGTATATCCCAGAGACCGCCCATGATCTGATCCGACACTGCTTCCTTAAGAACAGACATGAAAATCTTCGTGTCCCCTGCCATGAGCCCCACTGTCCTCAGATTCGCCGGGGTGTTAGGACACTTTCGCGGCTTAGCCAGCCAAGCCAGCTGCACCTCCGTCCATTCCGAAGGGATATAAGGATCATCCCGACAAACCGCATGCACAGCCTGCCTATGTAGCACAGGAACAATACTATCAACATGTTGCTTCCAGTTTCGTAGGGGAGGAGTTTCGTTGGGTGCTGCCTTCTCGCCCTTGAGCTTCTGAGCAGCCCGTCGCCATCGCCCTATATCCAGCTCTGCTGCAGGTATACGATGCAATTCCAACCTAGGGAACACTGGCGCCATGAAAAGATCTTTGGCATACTCCGCCAGTACACGGCATTCTTCTGCTCCACTCATCAAGTTACCATCTTTATCCCTGAGCCTGATTTTCTGTGCCTGCTTGTTGGGGCACAGCAGATGAACCACCCCGTAGAGTCCACGAATGTCTTGATTCCGCGCGGCAGTTTCGGCAGTTTGTAACAGCTGCAACGTTCTTTGTCGTTTACGGTTTCGAAGGGCCTTCTTAAGACATCTGTGTGCCTTCAAGTAGGCAATTCTAATGCGCATGAACCGAAAAACAAAGATATAACCCGCTCCAACCAGCGTCTGCGCGACCTGCATGCGTCTGCGCAACTTCCAGCTGTTTCGGATTTCCGTCTGCACCGGCGCAAGCTCCGGCCGTGTCAGTTTAGTCGGCGCTGCTGCACCTGCTGCTCTCACCGCTTGCCGTAGGACAGAGACACTACAGGCCTCCGGACTGTCGCACAAGTTCCGGAGCTGGCTGTCATCGCCCTCCGTCTCAAAGTTTGCCATGGATCGCCGGTCTGACTTCTTCCAAGGCATCCACCTGTGGGGAATTGAGCCGAGGATTGGCAAATGCCCGGTGCTCCTCCATCCAGCCATTGCTGTCTTGACTGGTCGAGCCGTTTTGGCCTGGCCATCCGCAACCGCCTGTCGCACACAGACAAAGTCGATCTGGCTGCTTCCTTTTGCACGTACGTAGGTTGCTGCCAAGCTTTTCTTCCCCCACGTGTTTCAAGTCGCCAGCCGATGCTTCTGTAGCACTCGAATGGTATGATCTTGATCTACTCGTTCTTTCTCGGTCTGCTCACGCGTAAGAAGCCCATACCCACTCAAATTGTTTTTTCTCACCAGCGTGGTATTAAAATCACCACCCAAGATAATCTAGGAGCGAACCGGTAGCGAGGAGAGCAGTTTGTCAAGGGCGGTGAGCAGCTTTCGGCGGCTTTCGTGAATCTGGTCGACTTGCCCTGCAGACTGCAGTGGGCGAACTGGTACAATCCTATGATATCCAGTTGCTGTTCCCCCATAAAACATCTGACCTGCAAAAGCCGGCCCGGTGACGCCTCGTGCCACCTGATATTCTGTGCAGTTGCCAAGGCGCTACGCACTCCAATCATGATGCCTCCACTGCCCTTCCTGCCCGTTGTGGAATGACAGAAATGCCACTCCGACGTGGACCATTCCCCATTGAAATCCCAATGTGTTTCCTGCAGAATAATAACCCCCACTTCTCGATTCTGCGGCTCATTGAGCCACTGCTGTAACTCTGTAAACAGCAGGTCCGAAAGTCCCCCCGTGTTCCAGGAGAGGAAACGAATTCTGCGCTTGTCCCGCGCCTGTGCCGCCTCCTCTACTACCGGAAGTTGCGGCGTTCCAGACACCAGTTTGCGCCCCCTGTACATGGTCTCTCCTTGCAGTTGCGCACGTCTTACTGCACGCTTGAAAGATCTTTTTCTGATTCTGGAAAACTGAGCTCCGCGAGCTGCTATTACGGCCTCATGGTTCCCTCCCCTGTTCGCCGTCAGGACAGATGCCCCGACAGCTCCAGATCCCCCGGAGGGTGAGGATCGACCCTCGCGCCAGTGACCTACTTCTCCTTCGTAGTTCATACAAATCAACGTCACTCCCGGACTGGGGAACGGGCTGAGCAATCATGAGGTATGTTGTCCAGAGATGCGCAGTACACACAGCGGCTCGGTACGGCCTTCTGCAGAAAAAGCGGCAGCTCCAGTCGCTCAGCTCCAGTGGAGCTCTACGACAGTTGAGTAGTTCACACGACAACACTCTCGGCTTGGACCGCTCATGGCGCTTGGCTGCTGCTGCTACTGCTACTACCACTACTACTACTACTACTACTACTACTAGTACGACGCTCGCCTGCTGCTACTGCTACTAACGCTGCTTCTAGTACTACTACTCCTGCTCCTGCTGCTGCTGCTGCTACTACTACTGCTGCTGCTACTGCTACTGCTGCTGCTCCTGCTACTACTGCTGCTGCTGCTGCTGCTACTGCTCCTCCTATTCCTCCTCCTCCTCCTACTCTTACTCCTACTCCTACTCCTACCGCTACTATCACGACGGCGACTACTACTGTGAACGGACCTAGAAGCGCTTTGTTTTTTGTTCACACTATAATTGCTATGCGGCGGCAATTTGCTGCGTTGACAACGGAACTATGGGAGACCTTTGTTGGCTTTGCAATTTTTGGGCCCAAGAACGAGCTAATGCGCAGCATTTATCAATAGGCACTCTCACTCGGCACCATTCCGTGCATCAGACTTCGGAACTTTGGACTCTGCAAGCAAAAGGTAGGGAGCGCATTGCAAAAGAGCTCTCTTGTGGACAGGGAGAGGGAGAACAGTGTACTTGGCAAACCAACTATCAACTACAAGCTCAAAGTGAGACGAGCTAAGTAAGGTTTTGTCGTCGTTTACGAAGATCACAAATCTTCTGCTCTCACCCAGGTTATCGGCTGTAGGCCGTCGGCTTTGCCCACACTGTTTTTCGTCAGACATTTGGTCGAGACGACTTCTGAATCCAGTGCAGACACTACACTGACGCTTGAATGGAGCATGGGCCTGTCCAGCAGTTACCGCCGACGACGCTGCTGCAAGCATTGACGACAGCGCATCTGGCGAGAACCAGAAAACTAAAGAAAAAGGGCAACCAGCGTGCCCGAAACTCCTCTGAGATAATCACGGTCAGTCAACGATATCGAGCCTGTAGGTTCTCTTCGCTTGGGATCCAGGCAATTTCGTGAGAAGTTCGTCTTGTGGGAGGACCTGACGTCGCACACAGCAGGGAGGGCCGGATCTCAGAATGTCACGATGGAGATGAGGAGGTCAGTCATGAAGGCAACAGTTAAGTGGCAAGCTCAACGCCACCAGCACCTTGAGGAGCTGAGCAAGATGCGAAGTCATGTACGCAGGCTTCGCCAGGAAGGTGAACAGAAGTGTGTGTTCTCTCGTTGCCATTGTGCGGAAGCGCCCCGCTGGTAGTGGGGGGCAGTTGTCCTCCCAACAGGCACGATTGCCACAGCAACGAAGAAGTGAGGGGTAGGTGCTAGAGAACGAGTTGGCTATTACGGCTCTTGGTGGTGTCGCAGGGAAGTGGTGGGATCGAACACACTAGCCGCTAGCTAGTGTACAAGGACGTCTCCGGTAAGGGACATGTCATGTCGTAAAACCTTCTCCAGGAATAGCTCTTTTTCGAGGATCGCGAACGCTCTTCCTGTGCCTTATGATGAGCTTGTGAATGTTGCGTGTTGTTGAAACAGCCCGTTGATTGCTTGTGTTGTGGTTGCGTTGCATGCCAAATCACGATCAGGTGGTGCAGTGGTGGCGTTGAGGCAGCTTACATGATGTTTCGTACCTAAGTTATCGTATCGTATGCGGTGTGGAAACAACCAGCATTGTCAGTGTTCCTGAAAGAGTTACGCAGTCTGGGGGTGGCGAGGCTGGTGGGAGCCGGGCATGCATCATTGAAGGATATTGAAAGGGTTTCGAAGCGGCACAAGTTGAAAGTCAACGCAACGGCAATCACATCGGCTTGGCCTGTTTCGATGTGTATTCTAGCCTCCGACGAGCAATCCTGCACAAGACAGTCTTGTAGAGTGTCCACATTGGAATGAGGGAGAACATACAAAGCGAGGAAAAAGTACCGCTCCCCATGTGCTGGGGCTTCCCCTTGTCAAACTTTTCTGCACTATGTGTTGACTGCGCGCTTGCCTCCGAAGGTGAGCCCACACGTGGTTCACTCTGGAAGCGAGGACAAACTGGTGGTGACGTATGCGAAGCCCTCAGCAACAGGGCTCGAGTTTCCCTCCTGCGAGATCGACATTCCAAAGGACCTCAAACAGAACAAGGCACTCGTCCAGCACACGTCGCCGCTCAGCTGCAGAAGACTCGGGACTCAAGTCATTGATTGAAGGACCAGACGGGAATAATTCAAACTGCTGCGGCGGTACTTGTGCATACTTCTGCAGGCCAGCCAAAGCTTATTGAGATGGGGATTTTGTCAATGGGAAAGATGTTGATGTTTTCTGTCGCAGTGGGTGGTAGTCTTCCTTAACCACAGTCAACGAAGCACCATGTGCATAAGTCTTGTCTAGTCTGGTATCGATGTGTACTGATGCAGTTTCTCTGCACCTTGAACTCCAGTGCTCGTTCTAGTCCGTTCTGAGACTTGAACTGCCGCGAAACCACACAGAACCGTTTTGAGGAGAGGAAATGCTCTGCAAGGGGTTGTCAGGAGAGCTCTTGTAGCAGCAACTGGACTCTCCACACTATAGAGTGTTCTGGTAAGTCAGGGTCTACTAAGGTGCCAGAGCAAACATTGAAGTCTGACATGTCAACAGATCAGCCGCGTGTTTCGGAGTGTAGGGCTTGGGAAAACGAAGCTGTTGGACAGCCATCGCTCCTGTCTCAATCGTGGCTCGAAGCCTCAGCTGGTGGTCGTTGCAAAAGAGCTACAACTCAGCAGACGTCGGTAAACGCAGACTGTCAACGTCATTCGTCATTCAAATCGATCTGAATCTGCCCTTGTGGGGGGCAGGATGTCATACTTAGCTGTTTAGCGATTTTGGTGAGAGAGTGGTCGCCTGCAGCTTTCCGTGATCTTCACGGACAAGTCTTGTTTGATGGAGCGGCGGCATGCTGAGGCATCTGCCCTCTAAGCTGACGGCTGAAAGCCTACGGCCGAGCTAGGTCCAGGAGCGTGTCTCCGGTCTTCATCTTCACGGATTACAGGACGGCTAAGGCTGCACGTGCAGACTTCCGGGAGTCACACACAAGGTCTGACGGGCCAGCGCCTGGGGACCCACACTATTTGGCTTACTTTCTCGCGAAGAGCGGCCTTGCAGGTATGGTGCATCCGTGTGCACTGCAGATCTTCGAGCATGGCCGCCACATTGCTTGAAGCTGCGAAGACATGCGTCACCATGCAGTTGTTGCCAGAGGCGATTGATCACACGAAAACAGTCAGGCAGGATCGGGCTTGGCCCAAGTCCCCGGCCTGGAAAAGCCACCACAGCAAGATGCTGGCAAAGTAGTTGTTGGAAGGTGCAGGAAGCCGGAGAGATGCAGGCTGAGTTCTCGGAGATGTGGTTGGACGGGAGTGCTAACAGCCGTCTGATGCCGCCGCCACGCTTTTCAGCACCAAGAGCGCCGACTGTCTGTGACTGTCTGCTTGATCTGGGCGGCCACATCACGGCTTCCTTGCATGTATTTTCAACAGGGCATCTCCGGCGCCGACTCGTATGAGCCGACCGGCACTTATGACACCCTGCAGAAGCACCTGGGCCAGGATGCCCGAATGGCCTTGCAATACATTGCACGAGAAAGCCGTACTGCACGAGACATCGTCCTGGCGGTATGGCGGTTGCAACTTCGCAGCGGATTCTGCTCACGGGGACCCACATAGGGAGTCAGAAGCCATCCGGGCCGGCGGTGAGACTTACTGCTTGAAACAGATCGGCAACTACCAGACGCTTGTCGTGGCAACAAACTTCGCTCGTTGGCGGCTGGGTTCCAAGTTCAGCGCAACCCATGCAGCTGGAGGCGCGGGTGGAGGCGATGAGGGCAGCGCTCGCGATCGACAATAGCACTTCCGCGATATTTTGGGGGAGTTTCGGACTTGCAGCATCTCGAACTTTTGGATTTTGGCGTCTTTGAGGACCGGCAGCTTCTGTACGAGGTCCAGCTCGATCCTTTTCTTCTGGTAGTTCGCGGCAGCTCGGAGCTGGTCACCAGTCAACATCTGAGGCGCATGGGTAGGGCGCCAGGTCCTCTGGCTGCGAGAGGATGCGTCGCACTCACAAGGCAAAAGAAAGATAAACTTAAGCAAGCCTTCCGGTGTTCTAAGTTCCCTGGAGCGACTTTTTCGATCATTGCTGGGCTAGAGTCTTCACTCATCCTCGTCGTCGTGTGACGGGCTGACAGAGTGACAGCTGATGTGCCACGAATTGAACGTCTTGCTACAGTGAGTATTTCCATTTTGCCGCTTACCACTTTGTTTCAGAAGAGCAACACCGTTTTTGCGAGAGTAGGGCTCCCTGCCGCTTCTTGAAGGTCGAACCTAGCAGCCACGTAGCAGCTACAAGATCTCGGAATCCCCTCAGACAGACAAGAGGTCGAAAGGTGAGAGCTCTCACGAAACAGCTTTCGGCTGCGTACTGTAAGCAGTCCGCAGCCACACATAGTCTGAAACACATTAATGTTTTGTACACAGACCTTCTTGCGGTGCTCATGGGGTCAAGGAAGCCATGTGATCAAAGGAGCTGAGGGCTCGAGTGAAACGAAAAGGGGAGGCAAAAAGTACCACCGCCTCGCATCTTAATCGTAAATCTCATGAACCGCTAGAAAGCATTATGTCGCACAGCCAAAGTACCTAACATCTCCCATGCCCGCAACCTGCATACCGATGGTGATGCATAAAACAAACCTTTGGTGTCTGATGGCGCTCACCTATCCCAGACCAAACCGAATGAGTCCAATGTTGCCACCCCCGAAACCCTTCAGTACAATGACCACAAAAAAAGATCTTCGGCTTTGGTTGCAAATCCATCTGAGTCTTGATGCATCCCGAAGGCTGCAGGACAAGACTTCCCCCTACCCACATGTCATGCTTTCCGTCATCCCGGCTCAGGGTGTGTGGGTGTGTGTCCCGAAGCTAGCAGCCAAGCGTCGAAGACCGCCTCAACCACTGTGTGGGTTTTCGAGGCAGAACAGCAGAAAGGACTGGTCCGTGGGCGCAGAAAACAATGAGGGCCCTAGGCCCTAGTGGGCCTGGAGGTTCTTCGAACGTAGGCAAGCATCTGCCATGCCCAGATTCAATCCTTCAGCAATGCCAAATTCACCATAGGACCCACTGTAAGGGCAAAAACGTGTAACAACACCAGGATAGTTCAATGCAACATGTCTAAGGTTGGGTGGAAACATCACAAACCTGTCGCAGCGCAAAGACCGCGACAACGAGGCTCTCGGCACAGAGTGTTCCAACGAAAGGAGCAGTGCTACCAAGCTTCGTGAGGTGGTAAGTTGTGCGCAAGATGGGAAGCTCCTGTTCTGGGACGTTGACTATCCTGATCCAACAGGCGGGTCTGCTGAGTCGCATGACCAATGGCTAGAGGAAGTTTGCCTGCGAAGAGGATTCTGCTGAGCCTTGAAATGGACAGGCTGCATTGACAGCCCAACGGGGATGCCACTCCGACTGCCACGCCTTCAGAATCAGACACAGTACGTATGACCAACCTGGTGTCATAGGCATAGGACATGCATATATATTATGTATATATATATATATTATATATATATATATTATATATATATTATATATTATATATATATGAGCCCGATTTCTCTTTAGGGTCTATTTAACCACCGCTTTATATTTACAATTCTAAATGTGTAGCTAAATAGTATATGGCTGAGTGGTACATTGCACAAACCAAATCCAAAAAGTTTTGGACCGACCGTGATATATTGTTTAATATCGAATTTCCATGTCTTTCAGAAGCTTGGCATGTTGAATGGCATCCATACTCGAGGTGTCGAACATCTTATGTGATAAGCATCGATCGAATCACAAGCAAGCGGTCAAGTACATTGTGTGATCTATCAGATGGATAATGGCCATTATGGACATACATAGCATTCTTGATGCTGTTGCTGATGTTGAGATCGTATGTGAGATACTACTTTCCCGAAGTGTTTATTGAGTGTTGGCTAACGTTGCTTGTTGTATGTGTTGTTTTCAATGCTTGTATTTGAAGCGATATATATATATATATTTATTTATTATTTATTATTTATTTATTCTTTATTTATTAATGTATCTGTGTCTGTTGATCTTTGTCATTCCTTTGTGTT